AGACAGTGCATTCTCTATGGCAGTGGTTCTCAACCTTCTGGCCCTTTAAATACAGTTCCTTATGTTGTGACCCAACCATAAAATTATTTTCGTTGCTACTTCATAACTGTAATGTTGCTACTGTTATGAATCGTAATGTAAATATCTGATATGCAGGATGGTCTTAGGCGACCCCTGTGAAAGGGTCCTTCGACCGCCAAAGGGGTCTCGACCCACAGGTTGAGAACCGCTGCTCTATGGACTCCTTGCTTCCTTGCTTCCTTGCTCAGGCGTCGTCTGGGCCCTCGTAGGGGTAGAAACCTTTGCTCCAGCTGCTCATCTAAATTCCGTGAGCCTCTGAAGCTTAAGAGCCCACCTGTCATTAGAGTTTCACCCTCCGTTTTGGTGCAGGGAGAGGTTCCTTTCTTGGTTTCAATCTTTCAAACACACGAATGCAATTTTAAATGTCATTTCTAAGTATAAGAGCAGAATGGGGAGGTTTTGGCCTGAGATCACTACCATCTTGTTCCCAGAGTCTATTCTGAATCCCAACAGCTCTATTTTCTAGCTTTAGTACCATGGACTTTTTCCACCATCGCACATTGGTATATTTATGTATATATTTGTTTAGAAGAGCTTGGATGAAGTGTGTGTGTGTGTGTGTGTGTGTGTGTGTGTGTGTACACGTGTGATGCATTTCTCCTTATAAAAGCTTGAATGCAGAGAGCTCTGTCCTCAGAATTGGTTTTTGACTTCTGACAGGATGTGTGGACCCTGGTTGCCCTGACATTCACCACTAGGGGCGGCCAATATGCATTTACTAGTACATGGTGTGTACAAGGATGATGCAGAGGTCGGAGGGATGTGAGGAGCAAGCCAAGGCCAGAGGTGGTGTGCAGAGCACTGTGGCACTAGGTGCAGAAGCCGCTGTGTCAACTCCCTTTGCATTTAAAGCTTTCTGGATGCCCAGGGCATGTCAGATCCAAAGTGTGCCTAGGCTGCCTGAAGGACCAAGCCCTGGTAGGCCTTCTGCTTGACACAGAATGTGTGTGAACCCCGAGAATTTAAAAAAATGCCATTGAGCCCGGCTAGTGTGGCTCAGTGGTTGAGTGTCAACTTATGAACCAGGAGGTTACGGTTTGATTCCCAGTCAGGGCACGTGCCTGGGTTGCCGGCTCGATCCCCAGTGGGGGGCATGCAGGAAGCAGCCAATCAATGATTCTCTCTCATCACTGATGTTTTTGTCTCTCTCTCCCTCTCCTTTCCTCAATAAAAAAATATTTTTTAAAAATGCCATCAACTCACAAAGATAAAAGAGAAAAAAGAGTCTGTCTACCCCTCAGGCAGTCTCTGACTTTATTTATTGCCCCTGCAAATGCGAATGCAGAATAGAGTGCCTTCCTGCCAGGGCTCCTCATCATTGCTACTGTTGTTCCAGCAAGAGGAGGAACAAGGTGGCCTTTGTGTTTTCCTTCTTTGAGGTGCTACCTGCCCTCTACTGAAAAGCCTGGGGGCTCTGCCTGTAACTGCTGTTGCTTTTGAAGATTTTACCCTATTTGGATATTGCATTAATCATTTCCATGGGAATCTTGAAGGAAGGTAATGCCTGTGTTTATGCTACCAATTACTCAGGAAGTCAGTAAGTCCTCTTTATTAAAAACCACCTCAGGGATTATCTAGCTAGATTCTTTTATTATGCATTTTTAAACTAGAACTGCCTCTTCCTGCTTTTGTTACAGAGTTAGGTTGTCCATCTAGATGTCAATCAAAAAAGATTATAGTTCAAAGCAAGTAGTTATTTGAAATAAAGGTTACAGGAAAGCATTCCAATATTGACCATGTAAATATTGATGGAGAACAATATAAGCACCTCCAAGGATTCAAAAAGTGATTAAAAATGCCTATGCTGTCTAATACTGTTTCAATTTAAGTAATGTAACAGAAGAGGCCAACGTTTTCTTACAGTTAGCAATAAGCAACTGAAAGATGCTGACTCAGACATTTAGCCACAGTTTCCTGCGATGACAATATTCTAACTCAAAATCCATAATAACATTAAATGTTCTATATTAAGAAAACCGCTCATCTTCCATATTTTTAAAAGTATCCAAATTGAAAGAAGCTTTAGGCAATAATTATTTAGTATTCTGCACAGAGAAAAGTTGCAGTAAGTTAATTACTTTAAATAATAATGATAATGTGGTACAGCTTAGCAGCTATGGTAATGTCTATTTATGAAGCCTCTTATATTACCAGGTGCTCTGTTAGCTATTTTACATGTATCTCATTGAATCCTCCAATCCTGCCACTTCCGACATGATCTCCACTTTTTATGTGAGGAAACAGGCCCAGAGGTTAAATAATGTGCCCAAGACAGCCGGGGAACTAATTGGGATGCTCTCTGGAGCATCTATCTCTAGGGCAACTCAGGTTCTGAGGAGCATTATGGATTTGAACTGCTACCCCAGGCTGCCTCTGTGATTCACAAACTTCTCCACTGCTCAAAGTATTCTGCTGAGGGCAGAGGGCCATCTCTGTTAGTCTACATCCAGGTTCTTAAGGTGGGGTTCATAAACACCTGAAAATGAATGCAGAAACGATATAATTGCGCAATTCTGGGAGGAGGACTTTCTCCAGATTTTAGTGTATCCCATGATCCAAAAAAGGTTCACAATTGTCTTATACACATTCTTTGGAAGATTGTTCTTAAGCTCTTGGACCCAAGAAATCTTATTCTCATTTCCGAGGAAATCCCACAGTATTACATCTTAGAGTGACCTTCTATTAAGAAGAAAGTGGAGGCAATTACCCAAGAGCAAATTTCAGATTATAACTTGAAATAACCAGACAGCCATGGCCACAAAAATGAGGTGAAGGCTGAAGCTGAATTATTTACTTCATGGTAGTAAGTTTCTGTTTTTCATTGCACATGTAAAAAATGCTACTGTGTAAAGAGAAAGAAAAATGGGCTGATCTAAATTACTAAACTTAAAAAGATATATCATATAAAAGTATTGGGAAAATATGCCAGCATTGGCAACTACATTTCTAAATAAAAAGAAAACATAGAAACTATTTGCTAGTCTTAAACAACAAAGTATGTATAACCTTGCAATGGATGAAAGGTGCAGAGGGAATTTCTCACTTTTCTTCAAAGAAGTTCTGCTGGATTTCAGACATTTTCTTTGAATAATTATGTTTGATGAATATAAAGGTTAATGTTAGGAAGGTAATTAAAATGAATGATGGCAGTGTCCACCGGGCTATGTCTGTGAAGGTGCTTCCCCACCCTGTTCCCACTCTAACTTAAAAATGTCTGATATATAAAATTGTGAGCTTACGCATATATATTAGGAGTGGTTATTTTTTATGCCCCCTTTAAAAACCTACAGGATTTCTTTTCATAAAGAGTTCTTACAGGTTTTTTGAGATGTAATTTTCTTTTTTTTGAAAGGTTATACAAAATTTTAAAAAGGCCTACTGCATAAACTAAGCAGCTACTATTAGAGCCACCATTTCCAGACCTCTATAACAAAGTATTGAAGGAAAAAGTTACCTCAAAGAACTTTGAACATTGCTCTCCACCAAGTCAAGCCATCTATTACCTAGGACATAACTCAAAACTTATTATTTTAATACTTATTCAACATAGAATTTTATCTATATCTCCATATACTTTTATCTATATATATATTATATCTGGTCCACAGCACAGAAAAATGAAGAGTGGCAAACTAGAGAAATAGTGAAATGTTAGTGGCCAGCACTAAAGCAATCAGCAGGCTGATTGACTTCAAGGGAAGAGACAGGAAAACAAACCTAAGAAGGGAGTCCGCATGCATGAAGAGGCAGAAGTGCCTGGAGATGGCAGGAGGAAAGGATGGAACGGTCCAGTCATTCCAGCTTTCCCCCCAGGACCGCCTGTCCTGTGAGATGCTGGAAGTTACTTTGAGCCTTGCCCGCTTCTCTTTCCAGCTCAGAGGTGCCTCAGGCCCTGGCAGATCATGCATTTCCTAGAGAGGTGTTCTGGCCTCGCTGAGGAGTAAATGCCTGAGCAAGCAGCCCTGAAGAGCAGGGAACTGGTTCAGCTCTTCCTCAGCCCTTTAATTAATTACCTTGCTGGCTGCCCCACGGCCTAGTTTTCCCTGCCTGTGATCCTGGGGATTTCCCCGCGGTTCTGCTGAACTCACTGTTACAGCATCTTGTCTTTCACATTGATTGTGGGGTTTGTTTGTTTTTTTAAATATATTTCATTGATTTTTTACAGAGAGGAAGGGAGAGGGATAGAGAGTCAGAAACATCGATGAGAGAGAAACATTGATCAGCTGCCTCCTGCACAACCCCCTCCTGGGAATGTGCCCACAACCAAGGCACATGCCCCTGACCGGAATCGAACCTGGGACCCTTCAGTCCGCAGGCCGACGCTCTATCCACTGAGCCAAACCAGTCAAGGCGACATTGATTGTGTTTTGGGGTCTTAGACTCAGCTGGGCTGTACCTTCCATCTTACTCCATCTGATGTCTACATATATTTTTAAATTAATTAATTAATTAATTTTTATTTATTTATTTTTGGCCCAGGATAAAGGGAGAGGCACATGCCCTGACTGGAAAAAGAACCCACGACCTTTTGGTGTACAAAATGGTACTCCAACCAACTGAGCAACACCAGCCAGGGGTCCATCTATTGATATTGTTAAAAAATTCCTCCATGTTGACTCCACCCTTCCAGGCTTCCAGTGTTGTTGAGGACTTATTTTTATGCTTATTCTTCCATATCAAAGAGACTTTGGATGGAAGTAAAGATACATCTTAATCAGCTACCTTCTTTTGCAAGCCATTCTGGGCAGTTTAAATAAAACAAATATTCTCCCCCTACAATCAGTGCATTAAGATTTTTATCACTTAGCTATCAATTTTACTGTAGCCAAACTAACAGAGTCAAACTGTCAAATTTGAAATTTTCTTTTGTTTTGTTAAATCAATTATTTTTAAAAAGTGTAAAAACTCTGAAAACTTACAGTCCATATCAAGTATGGCACGAACGGATTTAACGAGTTCCTTAGACTCCAGGGCCAGCAATGCTGGGATGCTCCGGCCATTCCTTCCCAGCGATGTCAGGGAAGTCTGAGAGGCTAACAGGGCTCTTCTTTCACTGTGAGGGCAATAAAACAGAAGTTGAAGTCATCACACAATAAATAACATCTATCTTTGCTAAATCTGAATTCGTATTAGTTATAAATTTGTACAGAAATATTTCTACATCTGGGAACACTGTCTTCTTATAGCCATAAATGAAGTAATTCACAGGAAACATTACTTCTGTTTTCAGTTCTTGACTGTGTAATAAATAGGCATATTTTATAAAAAGGAATAGAAGGATGTCCCACCTCCTAAATCATTTGTTTGGCTTTTTTAGTGAGTGCATATCTTATGCTAACATGATGTAGCCTTTTATTTCATTTTGTAAAAGTTCAAGTTAAGCTCATAAACATAAATTTATTAAACATGCATCTACTATTACTTCTTGTAATATTAACTATAACTTCAATATGTATATTTATTAGTGAAATTATCTCTTAAGCACTTCCATTTGTTTCTCCTAAACCTAACAGCCTAGAGCACTTCTGTTACTTTAAAAAATGCAAATGTCACCTGAAATAAATGCATTTAGATATAATTAAAAATGCAAGGGTTTGTTTACTGCAAAAAGTCATTATGCTATACATAATTCTTAAGCATAATGGGATCAATTAACAAGGAAAAATTAAAGCATCAATTATTAAATTCAAATAAATAACCATTATTTTGTGTTGAATGACCAAGACAAATATCCACTACGAAGATACAGTATATTAAAAAGACTGACCCAGCTGGTGTGGCTCCGTGGTTGAGCAATGACCTATGAACCAGGAAGTAATGGTTCAATTCCCAGTCAGGGCACATGCCTGGGTTGTGGGCTCAATCCCCAGTAGGGGGCATGCAGGAGGCAGCTGATCAATGATTCTCTTTCATCATTGATGTTTCTCTCTCTCTCTCTCTGATCTCTCTCTCTCTCTCTCTCTCTCTATCTCTATCCTTCTCTAAAATTAATTTTTAAAATTCCTTAAAAACAAAAAGCTGATGAATATTCTATTGAGATCCTCCCCTTAAAGTTCCCCTAAGGAAAAAAAAAAAAAGACTGAACCAAATTTTGCTAGTGTTTAACTTTCCAAGACATGGTGAAACTTTGTTTAATGTCACTTTTAAAATTTATCTTTTTTTCATGAACTAGATTAAGGCAAGGGCAAACTGAATTATTATTCACGGTCACAATGAGACCTTGGGGGTGCGGGTAGGGGGCACACCGACAAGGGGAATCTGATTGCTGAGTATTTTAACATCCTTACTAAAAATAATTATCATGGAATTCACATAATTATCTTACATCATAAGCAGCAAGGATAACAATGAAAAATGTCAAATTCCTTCATTAGAAGAAATAAAACATTACAATAAAATGAGTTTAAAAGTGTACTACTATTGGATTTCTTCTAAATTCAAAAAAATGCTGTGGAAACCTAAAATATAATAAGAATACAGTGAATTATCTTCACTTAATAAACTGCTTTTTTCATAGCATAAGGTAGAATTTGCCTAAGTTTCTGTAAGCATACATTGCTAGAAGTTGAATGTTAGTGTCAGCTACTAAAAGATGAGAGAAAAAAATTGCTTAGAAAATGCACAGAAATCTTTCTTTTGTATCATGTATCTAAATGACCATAAACTTGCAGTTTGAAAAAAATAAATGTTATTAGTATGATTGTAGCTCCTAGTAAGAAACTTTATATCAGAAACCAACTATGAATAATAACAAAATCAAGGTGTATTCTCCAAATATGTATTTTTAATTTATGTCTATTGAATGCTGAAAATGCAAGAAATGGATAGCATGGGCATGTCTGATAAACTTCTGTTTGTCATAACAACTAATATGCTAGACAGAGAGTTACCTTTAGCAGTGACTAGGGTAGTGAGTTTTATTCATACACAGGATGCTTAATTTCTTTACAGAATTCAATTTTAGAGTATGAGGTTACAATGATTTGCTAAATATCTCCAGGAATTTCTTTCACAGAGATGAGGTCAACAATGACATATCCTTGTGTCTATTTCCACAAGACATTAAAGAACAGTATCGGATAGGAGTTATATAGCATCTTAAACCTAAGAGACTTGTATTTTAGTCCCAATTACCAGATGAAAACGTAATCAGGGGCCATACCTGTAGGAGGCACTCAACTATTCTTACCTTAAAGTTGATAAAGGAGCACAATTATCAGAAAATACTTCTTGAATAGCCTGTCAACAAACAAAATAGTGAAGATCTGTTTGATCGTTTTAAAAAATGTCTTTTCTTGCTTAATTAATATTTATCACCTCTTCCTTCATGCTCCCCCCGCCTCAGTCGATTAAAAGGGTACTTCTGCCCTAGCTGGTATGGCTCAGTGGATAGAACACCGGCCTGTGGACTGAAGGGTCCCGGGTTTGATTCTGAACAAGGGCACATGTCCGGGTTTCGGGCTCGATCCCCAATAGGGGGTGAGCAGAAGGCAGCTGATCAACGGTTCTCTGTCATCACTTGATGTTTCTATCTCTCTCTTCCTCTCCCTTCCTCTCTGAAATCAATAAAAAAAATATATTTTTTTAAAAGGTATTTCTGTTTTGTGGTGGTGGTGGAGGGGATCAATTACAATAACATGTAATTCTACTCAGAAATACAACCATCAAACATTTCTTTATAACTAGTAAATATTTATCAAATAATGTTTATAGAATATCAAGAGTTTTCTTAGGAAAGTATTCATTAACACACAGAATGCATTTGGGATCATGGTACCCTGTCTTAATAATGTCTCTTAACAACCTGTATGTTAGCTGGTCTTTTCATTATCTAGGCAATTTAAATCTGACTCTAAGTTAGTATTGCTGTTTTGACCACAGACACTGTTTCACCAGCCACAGAACACTGATATTTATCTATAGAGCTTAGCTGCCTCTCCATTTCTTAAAAATGGACATAAAGTAACGTAGTAGGAAAATTTACCTCTACAAAATGAAGCAGCTTTTCAGTGGATGCCTCGAAAGTTTTTCGAGCCACTTCCGATTTTCGCAATTGGCAGTCAAGCACCGTGATTCTCTTTCTTAACTCCTGAACACTTCCCTGGGTGGAGAGAGCAGAAAAGGCCGTCTTACGCCCTTCTTCCATTCCACAGGAGAGGCGCCTGCCTTAGCTTGTGTGGACGAGCACCCGACACTGCCGTATCATTTATTTTCTCTTTATTATGTAGGCCTGCCGATTTGGGGCAGCACTTAAAAACAATGGCCCATTTAACAGTTAAACTGCACACGGGTGCTGCAAATTTGATGAGATAAGCTTCATATAACTTTATTACTTCCTATAATGAATTACATTTAAATTAGTTTACAGTGTTGTTTTGTTTTGTTTTGCAACATGGCTTACCAGATGCTGACAGAAAACCCTACCAGTGTGGCAAAACTAAAAATCCTGAAGATATACGCCTATGTTTAATATTACACAATCCAATATGAAGCTGAGCTGGCAGGGAGGTCAGGGATTCCGTGGGCAGGGCAGGCGTTCCATGCGGACAAGCAGCAGCAGTGCTGAGTGAACGCTGGAGTAAGAGTGACTGCAGCGTCATGTGCTCGGAGGGCACATGCTGAGCTCTGGTAGCCTACAGCTTGGGGTTTCATCAGGCACATATGGCAGCTGGGAGAACTCTAATGGGTGAACTAGGAAGAAACAAACTCAAGGTGAAGAGAGTTTTGACTTTGGCTCTGGGGAGCAGATTTTAAAAAGTATCCCCTGAATAAGTGCTAACCACAAGCAGGCTTAAGGTCAGAATTTATACTGCGTGTGTAATCTGTAAATTCATAAGCTGAAAATTTAGTTTAAATTGGTCCCAAGCCGGTAGAAGAAAACACAAAACTTCTCTGCAGGGGTATTTTCTACACTGAAATCTTAAGTAATTCTCACATACATTGTATCCAAAAGAACCTGATCTCAGAAATAAGCTACCATAAATGAAAAGTTCATTGAAGAAAACAAATTACAAGGTAAGTCCTATAAAGACCACAGACACTGGAGTGATCAGATAGATATAGAATGTAAAGTAATACTTATTATGTTTTAAAACTTAAGAAAGAATTGAAAGCAAAATAAAGGATTAAGAAACTATCAAAATAGATTCAATGATATAAAAAATCAATCTTAAAAAATAAAAATGTAATCATAATTAAATTAGAATCTCAATTTATGGGTTTACTATCCAATTAGACACAGTTGAGAAGAGAATGGGTAAGCTGGAAGACAGAGGTAAAGAAGGTCCTTATAATGAAGCAGAAAGATAAAAATAAAAAACATAAAAGAAAAAGGTAAGGAGAAAAGATCTTGCATACATCCAATCTGAATTACATAAGGAAGACCAAAAAGAATGAAAGAAAAATAGCTGAGGATAACACTTTATGGTTTAAAAAAAATGGCAAAGGGCATTTTTCTTCAGGAAGCTCAATGAATCTAAATAATTAAGTCAACACATGACTCTTCAAAGTCAAACTGCTGAACACTGACGATAAAGAGATCTTAAAATCATCTACAAAGAAACAATAGATTTCAAACAGATGACTGGTTAATGATTACTGTAACCATGGAGTAAAAACACTGAAAAAAGTAAGTGCTAAATGCAACACAATTCTAAATGTAACAAAAATGTATTTCAAGAACAAGAGTTCAATAAAGCTGTTTCCAGGCAAACAAAAATGGAGAGAGTTTATTACCAATAAATCCTCACTGGACAAATTTCTAAAAGCTGCACTTCAGAAAGAAAGAAAATAATTCTAGCAAGAAGGTCTGAGAAGAAAGAAAGACTGTTGCACATAGAAAATGGTAAGCATGGCGGTCTACCTAAACAAAGGTTGACTGCACAAAATACATTGCAGTCATGTTTAAGTTATGGTGTTAAAAGTCAAAAAAGAACTAAAATAGTGACAAAAATAGAAATGAAGTAGGAAGAGGTGATTGAATTTGTTCTAAAGTACTTTTAGAAGAAGGGGAAAGCTAGTGATTAGTTGTATATAATTTAAGTTAAAATAGAATGTTAAAATTTCTTAACTAATCATTAAAAATTAGAAAAAGAGTATATATCTTGTGAACCAGCAGATGGAAACATGGAATAGGAGTTGGAGAACACAGGAGAAATCTGAACCAATTCAAAAAAAAAAAAAAAAAAAAGGGAGGAGGAAGAAGGAAAGAGAGAGGGAAAGGGGAGGGGGATAAGAAGACTACAAATGAAAAACAAGAAGAGAACACGAGACAATTAAAATGCACAAATTAAGAGAGTGGAAATGAAGCCAAGTGCATTACCAAATAAAAGAGTGTAATTGAAACAATATTTCCAATTAAAGGTAAAAAATTATTAAAACGTGGGGGAGGGATTCAGCTACATGTTATTTACCACAGACACAATTAAAATACAGGGACATTGATAAGTTGAAAGTAAAAGGATGGAAAAAATACATAGGTAAACACTAATCAAAAGAAAGTCGATGTAACTATTTTAACATCAATCAAAAACAAGCACTAAGGGGAAGAGAAGATTACTAGATTAAAGAATCACAACATTTTCATTAAAAGATGATAACATAATTTCAACCTTGTATGTAACTAAAAGCATTACATCAAAATATACAGAGAACATTAATCACAAGCTCCTGTGTGTGTGATTTTCACACACTTCCCTGAAAAATGAATATGACTAGAGGACAATTGAACTCCACAATTAATGACTCTGATCTACTGGTCTAAAATAAAACAACTACATCAAACAACTGCAGAATGTTTTTCAAGCTTTCTTTGAACATTTGTAAACACTGCCCATATAGTAAGTCCTAAGACAACCATCAACACTTTGTGTTGTTATTCTTCAGGCTAGATTCTCTGGCCACAATGCAATTAACCTTTCTGTGACTCAGTCATAACTATGTACATTATTCCCAAATTACTCTACATACTTAATGCATTTTCAGTAAAAAGGCTAATTTTTTTGGGTAGCATTTATAAATTGGGCCTACACATAAAAGATCAAAGGGTCATGTAGCCAACACACTTAAAAAAACAACAACTAGGAAGGGTGAGTAGATATCAAGATTTACTGTAAAAGATCTAGTAATAAACACAGTGTATTATTTGCACAGGAATATAGAAAAAGACCAATAAAAGAGAATAGAGAACCCTCCAAAAGATCCACACACGCAAAATCTTTATATATGACAGAGCTGATGTTGTAGGTCAATTAGGAAAGAAGAGGCTTTTGAGTAAATGGTGCTGGCATAGTTGGTTATTCATTTAGAGGAAAGAATAAAATGGATCCCAACCTCTTACAATGCCATAAAACCAAAGAGAGAAGGGTCAAACTTCAAAACTTTTAGAGGCAAATATAAAGAAAGATTTTTATATCTTTGGGATTGGAAGGACGTCTAAAAAGACACATGAGGGGAAGACTGGTAAATTTAATTACATGAAAATTAAGAACACCTGTTCATTCACCAAAGGGTATAAAAGCAACCATAAATCCAGAAGATTTTATAAAATACTAGAGGCCCAGTGCACAAAAATTTGTGCACTGGGGGGGGGGGTTTCCCCAGCCCGGCCTGTGCCCTCTCGCAGTCTGGGACCCCTCAGGAGATAACGACCTGCTGGCTTAGGCCTGCTCCTGGGTGGCAGAGGGCAGGCCCAATCCCTAGGTGCAGCCCCTGGTCAGGCTCAGAGCAGGGCGGATTGGGAGGTTGGGATGCCACCCTCAGTCACGTTCAGGGTAGGGCCGATTGGGGGGTTGGGGCACCGCCCCCTGTCACACTCAAGGCAGGATCGATGGGGAGGTTGCAGCGCCACCCCCTGTCACTCACAGAGCAGGGCCCATCAGGGGGGTTGGGAGAGCTCGCCCCTGTCACGCACAGAGCAGGGCCCATCAAGGGG